GGTGAAGAGTGCTGTTATCTCATCTGTCTGCAAAGGAACTGAGTAGTCAGCTAAGCCATGGTGGAGGAGAGGTGGAAAAGCCAAATGGTTACAGTGGAAAAGAACTAGATTTGAAATCTTTGGGCCTGGATTTCGCACACACACACACACACACACACACACACACACTCCAACTGTGTGGCCTTAGGCAAGTTACTTAATTGCTTCGGACTTGCCTGCAGGGGCACCTCCTGGCCTGCAGACTTGCTCGAGGCAATTCTTCACTATTACAGACAAGCTGCTGGTCTGCATTGATGAAGGGAGTTTCCATACCAGGAATTCCCTAAATGGACAAAAACACAAGTCCATTTCCAAAGAAACCACTCCCCTGCACAGAGGGCTCTGAACCATTTTTGGTATGTCCTGGACCCGTTGGGCAGACAATCTGGTGCAGCATATGGACTCTCTCAGAATTATGTTTTTAAATATATAAATCAAAATACAAATAAGGTATAAAGGAAACCAGTTACAAGATAGTTATCAAAATGTTAGATAGAAAACAAATTCACTGCCACAGATTAAGAGCCTGTGTTCCAGCATGAGCATAACTGCGTAGCAGAGACATATTTCTAAAGATGAGCCTGAGCAGGGTCAATCTTTTCTTCCTCAAAGATTGTCACAGCCACTGCCACCACCACCACCCACCACCACCATCATCACCATCCTCATCACCATCATCACCACCACCATCATCATCATCATCACCACCATCATCACCATCATCATCACCACCATCACCATCATCATCGCCACCATCACCATCATATCATCATCATCATCCCTGTACAATTGCCAGCATCCTCACAGTAGGGTTCCCTCCCCTTCACCACTGGAGAGCCCTACACTCCCACCGCTCTCAGCCTTTCTGGGCTGTCTGAATGAAATGGACATCACCAGCTCCACTCTTTCTGATGAGATGGAGGACCACAGCCCTTTCCATCCTGCTCTCCTCCAGCATCTGAACAAGAACCCCTTGCCCTTCCACCTGCCCTGCATCATAACTTTCTTTTAGATGTTGTCTCTGCCTGATTAGATTGTGAGCTCCTTGAGAACAGACTGGTTTTTTTCTATTTGTATCCCTACAACTTAGCTCAGTACTTGGTGCATAGAAAACTCTAAACAAATGCTCTTCAATCCATTCATCACCACCAACATCACTCTTCTCTTCCTTCTCAGCATCACCATCATCTCTCTGATTTCTGTTACTTCTATGATTCACAAAGGACTTTCCTTACAATGACCCTGTGAAGTTGAAAGTACACATTATCATTCCTATTTTATAGATGTGCAAACTGAGGATCAGAACAATTGAATTTCCCATGAACCTATTCTCATATGTGATGAAATATAAATATATAGATTTATAGGTTGAAAGGGACCCCAGGGGTCTTCTAGCCTAATCTCCTGCCTGGTACACAAAGTCCTTCTACTGCTGACAGGTGATTTAGCCTTTATGGGAACATTTTCAGTGACAATGAGCCTCTTACTTTGCTTGGCCAGGCAACGCCTTTTTCAAGTGAATTGCTCTGATCCTGATAATAGCTGTTGTGTTCCCCCACTTTTCCTCTTCCCTGGCCCAGCACTGCCAGGTCTTTTAGCTCCTCCTCCATGTGTGTCCAGTTCTTTGGCCCCTCACTGCTAGCCTGCCTCTGAGTGCTCCCCACATGGTCGATGTCCTTCCTCCAACATGGCACCCACACCACACCCACCCTCCAGCATGGAGAGCAGAGATACTGTCACCCTGTCTTAGACACAATGCTGGCTTCTTCCTACTCCTATGGCTGCAAAGGCCTTAGTGTTTTTCACTTTAGAGCCTTGGGGAGACCCAGGCTGCCAGAGAGAAGCAAGTGTAGAAGGCCCAAAGGCCAAGGCACTCACTGCACCAAGGAGGCCTCTGGCACCTCTAGCCATAGGAGCTTTTTCCATCTCACCCATTTCCCCTTTGTCATGCATTTGGAAATAGAAACTCCTTGCACACAATGGAATAGTGTGGTTGTTATTCTGAAGCTGGAAGAAGCCCCATGCAGAGAGCTCCTCTTTCATGGATAGATGGCCTGAGTCATCGGCACATCCAAGCCCACAGTTCTAGAAGGGCTGACGTGTGCACAAGTGACCAGACTTGGTTTTGACCTATCTGTCACTTTGAAGGCTGAGGATGGTGCTGGTGCACAGAGGCTGTCCCAGTCTTCTGAATCACCAGGTGGACATGCCATTCCCTGGGCACCTTGCCTCCCCTTCCAGCATAGGGGCCTGGTGGCAATCTTTTGGGAATCTTTTCAAGGAGGTTTGCCTTACCCTGCCCTTGTCCCTTACAGCCAAAGGTTTGGGCAATGGGTCCTGAAGAATACAATGCAATGATGTGTTTTGAAGGACAATGTGGTGTCTAGAGCACTGGGTCTGGAATTGGAGTTCAAATCCTAGCTAGCTCTTCCATCTCTTAGCTGTGTGACCCTGGCCAAGCCTCCTCTCTGATCCTCAGTTTCCTCTTCCGTAAATGAGGGGTTTGAATAAAATGGTCGAGTGTTAAATTATACTGTCTCCTTCCCAAACTTGAAACTCTTATTTTCAAGACCCCCAAGTCCCAGCAGTTGGTGCCTCGGTGCCCTGAAACTGTCCTCATCTAACTGCTCTAAGAATTCCTGGTAGAATGTTAGCTTCTTGAAAGCAGCAGAGACAGTTTTCCTTTAAATCCCAGAACCTAGGACAGCGCCTGGCAACTAGGAGGCACATGACTGATGCTTGTTGATTGACTGAGAGAATCATATTGTTGGGGGCCATCTTATCACATATGAGACCTTAGAAATTCTGGAGTCCAATGGGTCTGCCCCCTTGGCATGGAAAGCCCTCCCTTCACAGCCCCCCCCCCATAATAGGCTATCCAGCTGCGACTTGGACACTCCAGCGGATCTCTGGAGCTCCCAATGCAGACCAGCCCTTTTGGGAAATTCTCATTGCTCAGGAAGCTCTAGGAGCCAGAGTTAGGAGGTCATAGAGGTCAATACAACTCCTTTTGGAAGAAATATGACAAAACAGAATAAGAGTAATTCTTTTACAAAGAAAAGTGCTTCTGGACCTAGTAGACACCACAGCTTTATGTCAAGTCTCCTCTTCTTTTCTGCCACGTGTGTGGAAATGCTGATTTTATTTGCTGTTTTCTCAGATGAGAATAAAAATAAATTTTAAAAAATGAGAAAATGGAAGCCCCCACAGGGAAAGTCATGTGTCCAGAATAGCTCTTATGCAGCAAGACCAGAATTGAAAGCCACATATCCTGCCTTGGAATCCATAAATTCAGGACTCTTGTGCTCCAGCTTAGCCAGGCTTTCTGGGGAGTCCGGATCTGTCTCCTTATAACTGCCTTCCACCCATCAGTCCCCACTCTCCCTTGCTGTGCTGCTGAGAACCCGGCCAATCCCTTCTGCCTGTATCAGCCTTTCCAAGATGTGCATGCCAGCCAAAACAACTCATGGTGAGAGCAAGAGATGGCTGAGAGCTGGCAGCATGTACAGATGTGCTCCTCCCTCTGGAACCCTCGCTGCCCCCAGGTGTGGCCATGTCACTGCCTCCCCAGAACACAGAAAAGCAGAAGGCAATGGTGGGGAAGGTAGCAAGAAATGGGGAACCAAGGGGAATGGGTCAGCTGCATGCTGAGCTCCATGGAAGGTCTCTGCACATGGACTGATTAGATTCCCTCTCAGATTTCTGGATCCTGGGGCTGTAAGGACTCTCTGTGGTAGTTTCCTGCTAGGAAGACATTGGAGTCTAGGAGCCCCTGACTCAGAGGGAGAGAGCTAGCCCCCAGCACCTGACTCAGAGCCCCAACTCAGAAGGAGAGAGAAAGCCCCCAGTGCCTGACTCAGAAGGAGAGAGGCAGCCCTGACCCCTGACTCAGAAGGAAAGAGATAGCCCCAGTCTTCATTAACAGTTGGGCAATTCTCTGCTCTGTAATCCAGCCTCCCCTCCCCCCCAGCTGCATCCAGATCATATGTCGCCCTAGAGCTGGAAGAGTCTTAGAGCTCAAGGAGTCCAATTCACTGATTTGACTGAGGAGGCAACGGAAGCCTTGTGGCTGGGGCGTTGAGGTGAGAAGAAAGGATGGGAGGGAGGCTGGGATTCCTGAGCCCTGCCCCATTTCCCTCAGTTTGTGGTCTCTCCTTCTTCCCTTCCAGGCCTTTCAGTCTCCATTTTCTAGGATAAGGATCCAGGCATTGGGAACTGAACGTATGGTGGTAGTGATAGTGATAGTGGTGGTGTTTTAGGGGAGTCAGGAGAAGGTAAGGCTTGCCTTGAAGGAATGGAAATGCTTTAGTAGTGGGGCAGGCTGAGGGAGAGGCGCCTTCCCTGTCCTCACCCCATTCACTTACTCATTCATTCTCAGCCAGCCAGCCATTGAGTGAGACGGGATACTGGGTAAAGTGACCTCCCTCTCTAAGGCTTGCCAGGATACTGTGGGTCTCCAACTTCTGGTTATAAGAGGCACTTAGCTCCCCTATGCCCATATTTAATGGAACTTTTACACCACCAGCCTATAGTTAGACATGCCTTACTCCTATCCCTCCTTTATATAAAGAGATCCACTTGGTGGGCTCCAGGAGTCCTCATTGTTTCTCCCGTTTGGAAACCGATTCTCTGTTCCCGACCACCACCCCATCCCCACTCTGGGCGCCTGAGTCCAGTGGGAAGGGAGTCTTACTTGGGATAACTGGGGTGGAGGGGAGTATGGATCATAGGATGTCAAGATTTAGAGCCGAGATAATGTTGGAAGCCCCTCAGCTCCATCCCCATCACTGGACAGATGAGGAAACTGAAGTTCAGAGTGCAAAAGTGACTGGCGAGGGCTAGTAAGAGCTAGTAAGCTGGAGGTCCTCCGACACCCAATCCCCCAGGCTGTTTGGATCTTGGCCCCGAGATCCGGGTTAGGGAGGGAAGAAGAGCCAAGGGAGGAGGGAGAGGATACTCACTCGTGGTGTTGTACTTGATGCCGTTGAAGAACTCGGGGCACGGTCTCTCCACGTAGGCCCCGGCGGCGCTGCGGGGCCAGCACGTCCCAATCTGGTCAGTGGTGGCATTGCAGTAGGTACCTGGCGCGGGACAGATGAGGGCTGAATGAGGAGCCCCGAGGACGCCGAGCCGACAGTAAATCTGGGGCTCCGTGCCCCAGGGTTGGCTCATCCCGGGGCCCCTGCCTCCCGGCCGGCCCACAACAGCAGCGGAAGCACCTACCCTGCGGGGCCAAGAGCGGCGGTCCCCAGCTGTCAGGCAGCGGGTCCCGCAGCAGCAGCAGCCCGCTGCAGTTGGCATACAGCTCGTCCGGCCACTGAGGGAAAAGCGGCAAGTCCATAGTGGGGGACTAGAGGCTGGCGTCTCTGTGCGTGTGCGACTGAGACACCCAGAATGTATGTGGAGAGAGAGAGAGAGAGAGAAAGAGAGAGAGAGAGAGAGAGAAGAGAGAGAGAGAGAGAGAGAGAGAGGAGAGAGAGAGAGAGAGGAGAAGAGGAGAGAGAGAGGAGAGAGGAGAGAGAGAGGAGAGAGAGGAGAGAAGGAGAGAGAGGAGAGAGAGGAGAGAGAGGAGAGAGAGAGAGAGAGGAGAGAGAGAGAGAGAGAGAGAGAGAGAGAGAGAGAGAAGAGAGAGAGAGAGAGAGAGAGAGAGAGAGAAGGCGGAAAGACAGACAGAGACCCAAAAAGTGTGGGTGAGTGTAGGTGTCGGTGTGGGATAGGTGCGCAGGTGACTTTGTGAGTGTGGGTGTGCGCGTCTCTGCCTTGGTGCGTCGGCCCGCTGTAGTTCTGCCTGCCCCGCTCGCCTCCTGCTTTCCTTTTCCGTCCTCCTTCCCCGGCTCCTCCTGCCTGTTCCTGCAGCTCTGAGGGCACAGCTCGCAGGGAAGTCAATGCGCACCGAGTGCTGGGCTGGGCGGGAGTCCTGACTCGGGCTGCTGGCTGAGCTGGGAGTCTGGGAGTCCACTGCGCTCCTGGCTGGAAGCGGCGGTGCCCCGGGTGCCAATAGCAGGCAGGGCTGGGCTGGGCTGGGGGTTGCGGGAGGAGAGAGGACGGGGTTGGGAGGACAGAAGTGGGGACCTTGAGAGGAGGAGAGCAGGGTTGGGGCTCCTCTAGGAGCCCAGTGTTTGGTTCCCAGTCTCCGTGCCCAGGTTCGCAGCCTGGACTTCCTCCGCCTCTGCAGCCTCTCACTCCGCCCCTCTCCTCCCTCCTCCTCCCCTCCTTTCCCTATTGTGGGGCCTCAGTGATGCTGTGTGTGTGTGTGTGTGCGCGCGTGTGCGTGTGTGTGTCCGCCAGGGATGCAGGGGGAAGAAGGAGGAACTATAGGGAGAAAGAGACAATCATTCTGGCAGGAGGGCATGGTATGACAGCCAGGGCAGGGCTATCTTTGTGGTTAGGGCCTGGTATCTGGGGCTCCACCGTGCCTGGAGGTCCTGGTGGGCTCCTGACTGCTCCCTTCTCTTCCACCCTGCCCCCAGTTTCTGGAGATCTAGCAGTTTTGTCCTCCTTTGCAGATTATCCCTGAGATCTTTTCTCCTAACTTGAGGTGTGGGAGATGGGAAGGCAAGAAGGCCTGGGCCAAGAGGCAGGGTAAGGCCAGCTAGCCTTGATTCCCAGGTCCTTTCCTGTCTTCGGCCTGAGTGCTAAGAGCAGAAGGGAACTGGTCCTGCCCAAAGCTGCCCTTGGTGGGATCAGAGGGAGGAAGAAACCATAAAGTTTTGGCATTCCATTGCCAAACTGGAGCATGGCAAGAGGAAGGGATGCAGGATGGGGGTGGGTTTTGAAGCCAAGCCATATGAGTACTGGTGGAAGGAAATGGAAGCACATACTAGGGGCTAGGAGTCACTTGCTGAGAAGAGGAGAGGAGAGGAGAGGAGAGGAGAGGAGAGGAGAGGAGAAGAAGAGGAGAAAAAGAGGAGAAAAGAGGAGGCTAAGACTTGGAGGAATCAGATAATTTCCCTTCCCTGAGGATTTGGAAGGCAGTCATTTGGAAGATGGCTTAGACTCAGCGACCTGGTGTTGGCCCCAGAGGGCAGAATCAGACCCAAGGGTGTAAAGTGGCTGAGGTTTGGATTCCATGTAAGGAAAAACTTCTTGACAATTGAAGTTGTCTAAAAATGGAAAGGGCTGCTTGGAGAGGGAGTGTTTTCCACAGTACTGGAAGCATTCTAGCAGAGGTTAGATGATGGGTTCATGAGGACTTTGGTAAGGTGATCCAGACTTCAAAGTAGATGCCTTCCAAGTCCATTCCTGCTCAAAGATTCTATGGAGTGGTCTGGTCTGACAGCACACCCAATGCAGGAATCTCCTAGATGCCAGCCTGGACATGGGGTCTTGACTTTTGCTTGGAGAGCAAGCTTTGAAGAGCAAAGGCTAGCACTTGAAGTAATACTGGACCTGGAGAGTCTTGGCTATAAGTGGTGAAGTGACCAGAGAAGACCACTCAATCTCATCTTTCTTCATCTATAAAATGGCATAACAATAACCTATAGTACCTACCTCCTCCACTAAAGTCTTTCTCTGATGTAGCAGCATGCCAGGGAGGTGGCATTGGATGATCAAAGGCCAAGCGAGTGGAAATTAAGTTCTTACGGGTCTTGCCCAGTGGGCAAGGCTGGAATTCAGGCCCAGGGATGGATGGTGTGTCTGTTGGCCAAGGACCAGCTTGGCTCACTTTGGACAGGGGGATGGGTGAATATTTGGGCCCCAGCCACCGCTGGAGTTAGACTCTTCCTGAGTGACAAAGGGAACTCCACACTAACCAGTGGGACCCCAGGGCTTGAAATGTAGAGGCATACATGCCTCCTTCACAGCATTGAGGGGATGGGCAAATGACATCATGCTAGAAAGAAAGCACTATTCTGATCAGATACTTCCGGTGACTGAGAGTTTACTAACGTGTGGAGCAACCTCTTCCATTGTTGGTCTCTCCATCTGCCCTTTCTTCCTGAGTCAGAACCTGATGCCTCAGGGGTGTTGTCCATTCCAACTTTGCCTTCCAGAGTTCCACATTTCTCCAGCTCCTTGAAAGTGGCTCTTAGGCCGGTCTCTCTGTCTCTCTCTGTCTCTCTCTCTGTCTCTCTCTCTGTCTCTCTCTCTCTCTCTCTCTCTCTCTCTCTCCTCCCTTTTTTCTTCTCTCTCCCTTCTCTGTCTCTGTCTCTCTCTTCTTCCTCTTTCTCTTCTCTCTCTCCTCTCTCTCCCTTCTCTCTATCTCTGTCTCTGTCTCTCTCCCACTCACTGACAATGTGGGTCATGGAAAGAGTGCTGGGCTTAGTCAGGAGAGGCCTGGGTTTGAGTGTCACCTCTAACAGTTGCTAGATGTATGGCCACAGAGACAAATCATACAATTTAACCTTGCTAAGCCTCAGTTTCCTCATTCATGAAATGGGAATAATAAGACTTTATTATCTCATTCTGCACTAAAATCCAACTCTGGTGCCTCATGGTATCAGAGTGCAACCTCTGAAAAATTCTATAGAGCTGGAAATGTTTTGAGACAGGTACAAGACAGACACACAATTACCTGAAGATTAGCTAAAGGAGTTTGGGAGAGGCTTATCCCTTTCCCATCATGAGATTTGGGGGGCTTAGTTTTTGTTTGGTTTCATTTGGTTTTGCCACTGCCATTTATACAGGCTCTCTCTCCAGGGGCAGCAAATTTCACCTGGTATCACATGTAAAAGCCCCAGGTCTCCGATGCATCTGCCCTGTGGGGCTCTTCCATGGGTTCAATGAGACAAGGTTTACACACAAAGGGCTCTCTAATAAGAATCATCACATAGCAGAATGTCCCAGATGGGAAAACCAAGGCCCAGGAAGATAAAAAACCATGGAGTTGGAGCTGAAAGGGACCATCGGGACAGTCTAAGCCAGGAGTTCTTGTGCTATAGACCTCACTGATGGACTGTGGAAGCCTATGGACCTCTTCTCAGAAAAATGTTGCCTAGATGTATAATGGAAGGAAAGGCTATACCTTTCACTAAGAGATCATTGAAAATAAAGATAATTTTTCCCATCCAAATTCATTGGCTACCTTAAATCTATCCATGGACCAATTAGGGGTCCAGAGAATCCGGGTTAAGACCTCTGAGGCCTAACCTCTTCTCTCACAGAAAGAAAAACTGAGGCCTATGGAGCTCAGGGATGAGATTTAGAGCTGAAAGGGGCCTCAGGGAGACTTTGACCAACCACCTTGATTACAGATGAGGAAACTGAGGCACAGGAGGTTAGGAATAATAGATTTTGAGCTCACAGTGGTCACATGGCTCCATCCAGCCCCAACACAGATTCCATACATAACATCCCCTACTGGTGATTACTCTTGCACTTGAGACCTCCAATGGCAGGAAGCTCTCTAACCTTGAAGAAACCCACCCCACTACTGGAGACGTGCAATGGTTAGGAAGTTCTTTGGCATACAGAGCTAGAATATGCCTCCCCAGGACTTCTAGGTGTTGGCATTAGTCTCTCACTTTATGGCAAAGTAGGACAAATCTGTCCCTTCAAATGGTGCCCTTCAAACATATGAAGGCACTTATCACGCCCCTCCTGAGCCTTTTCTTCTCCAGATCAAGTTCCCTACATATCATCTTGTTTCTTTTTCTGCAAATTTTCCTCAGGTCCCTTTTGAAATGCAATGTGAAAAGTGCTGAAGAACACTCCAGATGTGAACTGACCAGTAGGAGGATCACTGCTTTGTTATACCTGCTCTCAGAGCAGGCCCCTGTGGTGATGGTCTCAGAATAAGTGCCACTTAGGACATGCACCCAAAGCTGTCCCTGAAAGAAGGGACCACCGGAGAAGAGACAGCTAGGAAAGGGACAGTCAAGGAAGGGGCACCCTGACACACTTTCATTCTGGCCATAGGTGTAACCCAGCCCATTAGCACACTGTAAATAGCACACAGAACATGTGCACATCAGAAAAACTTTTCCTTGGGAAACCCAGCAAGCAGGGGTGCCCTTCCCAAGAGCCTCAGCCAATACCTACTCTTATTCTGGGAGAAATTCAAACCACTTAAAGGCACCAAAGTCATCCAGCCTGATCAAATTTATCAAGACGTCTGCAGATCACCCTTTGTCCTACAGTA